TGCACCATTCAAATTTATAAATTAGAAAAAACAAAACTCAAGGATCTCTACAAGTGCCCAATTTAAAAAGTAGGATGATGTGGTGGTAGTGAACCAAACTCAACAGCTCATACCTAAAACAGAATTTGGGGAGAAGAGGAAAGGGATTATGAAAGGCAAGGCCAAAAGGCAGATATTGACAGCCTTCACAACCTACAAAGGCAGCAAACATAGCATCCTCTGATTATAACCTTAAATATCTGGTTAAGCACTAATAGAACTTAGAAAATAAGACAAAAGATGGGCGCCTGACTGGCTCAGTCGGTAGCACATGTGACTCCTGATTGCAGGGTCCTGAGTTCAGGCCCCACGTTGGGCACAGAGCTTACTCAAAAGAACAAAAGACGGTGGTTTATGTGTAATTTTTTTCCTCCTTTGACTATTAAGTACCTAAGATGGCCTGTGCTCTCTCTCCCACATCCCACGGAATCTGATAGCAATACAGAAACAGTCAGATGCCCTGCCAGATAAAAGGGTTAAGGCTGGTGATTATGGGAGGGAGAAGCTCCTGGCAGCCTCAGAAGCCCCCCAAACGATGTGTGTGACATCATATACGCGGGACTATCAGTGTAGCATCCGTGTTTGAACAGCTCACCCTCTCAGCACTGCGCGGTGCTCATTAGGGTGCCGTGCGGTGCTCATTAGGGGACTGCTGCCACACAGCAGAGAAATCATTTACAACGAAGTCAGCACTGGAGTGGAAAAGGAGTCCTAGTACAACCCAGCAAAATTTCCATAATCTCCAAATGATTAATAGTTTGTTCCAATTTCAGATACATTGTTACTTATTTGGGGGACCATCATATGGTTTTTAAGCTCTGGAACTTCGATGGAAATCTTAATCTAGCTGAGACAAGTCTCTTTTCTTTTCAATTTATGCCAAAAAGGTCCAGATGTTAGAAAACAAAGAGAAGGATCCCGATTACCAGTGGCTGTAAGCTGCTGTGGTTACTTCATTATTGACACATTCCTGAATCAGTAATGTTTTGAAATCCAGCCAGTTATAGCCAAGCCATCATCCTTTTTAGAAACGGCATTCTCCCAGTTTTTCAGCTAGAGGGGACGGTTGCACAACATTGCGAATGTGCAAAATGTGACTGAACCGTATGCTTGAAAACGGTTTGCTGCATGTTACGTTGACTTTTACCTCAATAAAAACAAAATTATTTTTTCTTCTTAACGATTAGGAGTTAGGCTTAACAAATAAATAAGGCTTCCTGCCAATACTAGGGGATGAAACTCCCCCCACGGTCTGCTGTTAACACAAAGCTCTGTTGACAAGAATACACGTTTAGCAGCACCTTTTATCTGGATAGAATTCAAAAGATCCATGGGAGGTTGCTTTTTTTTTTTAATAATTAGAAAACGCACTTAATCGTCATTTCAGTTACTGCAAAGACTACTACATAAAAAGCCAACTGTTATCTGTATCCTTCCCACCCCAAAGAAGAGAACAATTGAAACCACATGACTTAGAATAATGGCTGGCAGAACTCCACCTCTGAAGTCTACAGAGGTGTCATTACTCCATTAGTGATAATGGCTATTGATCTGGCCCCTCCTGGAAGGGATAGTAGGAAAAACACAATATTTAAGATAGGAAGAATTTTCAACTATATTGATTCCAGCAAGACTTTTTTTTTTTTTTTTAAATAGAATTAAGAAGGCCTTTTGCAAGTAAACCCCCCAATCGGGTCACTTCAACAAGAGGAGCCCAGAAGCTTTTCTCCCTCCGGAGGCGAATACTAGTATCCTACTTAGATTATTAACTTCTCTTCAGAGGCTATTAGAATCCAAAGGACAGGACAGAACCATCTAACAAGAAACATCTAGGTGTTCCCTCTCCCCTTAAATGGAAGACTACACACTTCTCTTAAAAATTAAACCTTGGGGCGCCTGGGTGGCTCAGCTGGTTAAGCATCCGACCGGCTCAGGTCATGCATGATCTCACAGTTTGTGAGTTCGAGCCCTGCGTCAGGCTCTGTGCTGACAGCTCAGAGCCTGGAGCCTGATTCAGATCTCTCTCTCTCTCTCTCTCTCTCTCTCTCTCTCTCTCTGCCCCTCCCCCACTTGCATGCTGTCTCTCCCTCTCTCAAAAATAGACAGTAATAAATAAATAAATAAACAAACTGGCTGTCTCATTTGGAAGCGTGTGATTCTTGCTCTTGGGGTCCTGAGTTCGAGCCCCACACTGGGCATAGGGATTACTAACACAAAAAATAATAACTTAAGGAAAAAACCCAACACTAAACTTCCCTCTTTCTTCCTTTTCAAAATATTGCATGCCGATTTTCATTCCTATTGTGTTATGTCACCCACACACAATTTATTCCTCCACACAGGCCCCAGTGACATTATTACTAGGATAACTTCATTAAATGCAAATAATCTTAATCCCTCTACCATTAGGATGATTTCAGCCTTAAAACACTCATTTGAGTGACAGGACAGAGTATTTTTCTCTGTATCTTTCTGTCTTTCCCAAATTCTCCATGAGGAGATGACTCTCATAAACAGGGGAAGAATCAAAGTTTTAGAAATAGTTACTATTTTCGAACACCTACTAACTTCTTATTCCTCACACCTTTTTCAAGGGGATATTGACCTATTTCACAGATGAGGAAAATGAGGGTCGGAGAGGTAAGCACACTTCCTCATAAGTGGGTTTGAAGAAAGGTCTGCTTTATTTTACAATTGCCCTTTCCTCCATACTGACAAGGACCAGAGGCACAAGAGAACTTCTGCCTTGTGTTTTGTAACCAGTTCTCACTCTCTAACATTACTGAAAACGACCCAGTAGGAAGTCAAGAGTTTTTTAAGGTTTTTATTAACACCTGCCAAGTTAATAATCTGCAAAAAACCCAAGTATACAGCCCAGCCCAGCACTATGATTAAGACATATTCTTGTTTAAAATTTCTATCTTTATTCCGTTATTGTCCAATTTTAACAATGAGACAAATGTTTAAAAATACAAATGTAGCTTATAAACTTTTGTGGGTAAACTAGAAATTGGAAAATGAATTGGCATATCTAGAGGTCACTGCTCTGCATGCCTAAAGGTAAATGATATTCTTATTTTCTGGACCAATTCTTATCTGGTGGATAAGATGAAGTCCTCAATTCCACCTGCTTATCTGCTAATTTCTGCATTACCTTGGACAAATGCCATTTGCATACTCCCTACCAGCCCTTAGGTGCATTGCAGCCTCTGTGTCATTGTGTGTGACATCACTGGGTTGCTATGGATATAGGTGCGAGGTCACTCACTTTCCTGTGAAACTAGAAATATGGAAAAATTAGAAGAGTCTAAATAACATGAACTAAACGTATTTCCAACACTGATATCTATTAAGAGCAGAACTTCTCATTTGAGCTTTAAAATGTTTTAAGGTAGCATCTGTGGCAATACATTAACACGGCAATACTCCCCATTTCAGAATCACGTCTCTTCCTTAATGAGATAAAAATCTTTTGGTAAGGTAGCCTGCTTAAATAAAAAAGCATCAGCATTGTTATCTTTTATGAACTGGCAAAGTTGTTCAAGGATTAAGCTGGGATACCTACATTGCTTCATTAAAAAAAATTAACACGCAAGATACACTCCTGAATCCACTTCACACTGGAGATGCATTTTAAAAACCTTTGTTACATAAGACAGGAAGTTAAATGTTAAGACAGTGGGAGACCTAAATCATTAACCAGATAATTTCCCATGTTTTATTTCATAATGCTCAATATTTGCTCCCTCCTCTAATATCAAACTCTTTGATAGCCAATTAGATAAATGTAGTGTTACTGACAAAATGGTGCAATACAGGCAGGAATCTGCATCCCAGACAAAATGCGACAACTGGCGATCAGTATTCTCTTTTCATCAGCATGAGGATGCGCTAGCTTTTTTTTTTTTTTTTTTTTAAAGTCATGATGTGTCTAATAACAACATTTAAAAAAAAAAAAAAAAAAAGACTTTTTCCTCCTTTAAAATAACTCCTCCCAGCCTCCACCCAGTCTAGGCTCTCTGCAATATGACAAATGCAGAATCTTCTAGAATGACTTGATACTGCCTCCCACCACTGCTTTGTTTGCAATATCAGATTAGGGAGAATATTTTTTCGACTTATAGGATGAACAGATGTGTGCCTATTTAAAAAAGAAACAGCATTTGTCACAAATTAAACCAGTCAGCTAAATGCATAACCTTTATTTTAAAGACAATACCTACCCTTTTCAATACAAAACACGTTAGGAAAAAACGGAGATGACATGTCGAGAACGATCAATGAAAACGCTAGCGAGAAATACGTTCCCCGCAAGAGGACGTGCTTTGGGGTATAGAGAGAGAGGAGCCTTTTGTTAACAAAAACGTGAGAGCAGCAAGGTTTCGATTTTGCACCATTGAGCCCAGGTTTTCAGGAGAGCCTACGTTTTTTCTGTGGAGATTCTAAAGGATCTGTCAGGAGAGGCAATGGGGAATATCGGGGGGGGGGGGGTATTAGAAAACCAGGAGACCTGATGAGTGAATGGGAAAGGCGCCGCCCAGACACCAGGGAGAGAAAGAGGAACCGCATCCATGCGGTCCCCCCGCCCCCACGCCCAGGCTGGGAGGAGGGGAAGTGGGGCACAAAGGATGTTCACGGCCCCCGCTCAAGTCCCCAGGGACCCGGAGACGCGGGGGCCAGAGACCCCGCTCCCGAGACCAGCCCTGCAAGATCCCGCCCCAGCCCGAGTCCGGGGAGGGCCGAGAAGGCAGCGCCGCCGGCCCTGGGGGACGCTCGGGGAGAGGCCGCGTCACAACCCGGGTCCCTATCGCTGCCGGGGCCCTCCCCAGCTCCCCGAGTGAGTGGGGAGGGGCAGTCAACGCTGCAGTCGCGAATGGCGACTAGTCCCTGGGCCGTCCACGCGAAGGCCCGCGTCTGCGAAGGGACTGGGGCGAGGCGGGGGGAGGGGAGGAGAAACTCACGTTCTTCATGGCCGCGGCCATGTCGTCGTAGCGCTCCGCCTGCTCGGCCAGCCGGGCTTTCTGCACCAGTTGCTCGCGGTCCACCATCTTCGAGGGCTGGATCGGGCCGGGTGAGGAGACCGGGGCGGCCTGAAGGGCTCGGAGGGCAGCTACGGCGCGGCTGGAGCCCGTGTGCCGGAGAGACCGACCCACGAAGCGAGCAGCTAAGGCGACGGCGACGGCGGCGGCGCGGAGGCTGCGGCTTGAGCTGCGACCGCGGGACCAGGCGCGAGGCGGCTGCGGCTGCTGTGCGTGCCGCGGGCGGACAACCCCCTGCGGCCCCGCCCACGCCGCGTGACGCAGACGGTCCCGCCTACCCTCCCGCGCACCCCGCCCCGGCCCCGCCCCGGCCCTTCCGCCTCTCGGGCTTCTCCTCCCCGACTCAGCTTACCTTCGCTTTCTGGGCGTCCCTCCCTTCCCCGCTGCCCCCCCGCACAGTGCTCCCCGTTCTTCACTTTACCCCTGTTCCTGCGCCTCAGCTTCTCCAGATCACCCCCAACCTCGCCCCTCACACCGCCCCCCGCCCTGCCAGGTCCCCAGCGCGTGGGCCCCTGGGAATTGTAGTTTGCCCGGCAGTGGGGTGATATGTTGGAGAGATCAAGGACAAAGGGGCAGTTAGGACTACATCTCCCAATGGTCATAGCGCGCGAGCGGAGGTGAAGGGAGGGGTTCTAATTCCGCGGCCACGGGGGACCCCTGGCGGGGACTGAGGCTGCTTCAGTCTTAGCGAGTGCTGATTCACGGCCCCGCCCCATATTCTCCGGGAAATTACGAGGTGAGGGGGCCAGGACCTCAGCCCTGGACCCCGTCTCAGAGATAAAGTAGCAGCAGGCCAAGGAGGGACAGAGGAGAGGACACGCGTCCACCGTAGGTCCAAACTTGCCAGGGTGGTGCCCGCCGGCAGGATGGGTTGAATTACGGAGCTTAATATTGGGAGCTAAACTGTCACCCTCCCCCACAGGCTTCCATTTCCCCACACGCACTTTGAGGTTCTTGGCCCTGATGAGGTGAAAACATGGAAGGACAAATACTGGCCAGGCATACTGGTTAATTTACAGAAAGGATGCAGCTGTCTTCAGGCTGACCCCCGGGGGAGCTCCTTCCTCTCCAGCGTGGAGTGTCAAAGATTAAGTTCTGTTGCCAAGAGCCTACTGTATGCTTCACATGAGGTTGTTATCTGAGGGTTGACCAACCCTTCTCTCCCCACCTAAGACGCACACACTGAGGTCGGGCTGACAAATTCTTGCTCATATGCTTCCATTTTCAACGTTCCGTGGAGCTTACACATCCATAGTTTTGACTGCACATTTTATTGGCTTCATTTTTTTTCCCCGGCAGTTATCTGTTGAGCACCTACTGTGTTCCAAGCACTGTTCTAAGCAATGGGGTACAGCAAGGAACGACACAAAAAAACCCTACCCCCCAGAAAACAGGTAAGATAAAGATAAATATGTCGAGTAAAATGTTAGGAAGTGATAAGGAGTTAAAACAACAACAGGATATGAAGTGTTGTGTATGAGAATCTAGAATGAAGGAGTCTCTGTGAAGGACTATTCAGGCTCTGTGCTAGATGGTAGAGGAAGAGGGCACAGAATCCTGCCCTCAAGGAATTTAGAATGTTTTAAGTGCTGTTAAGTTTTGTTTGTTCGTTTGTTTGTTAATTCTTTCAGGCTGGATAGGAAGAGGTTCTGAAAAGCTTCTCCAGGAAGGTTGGTAACGTTTCCAACCCAGCTCTTAAAAGGATGTGTAGCATTTGAGAGCATGGAAAGGACACAGGCAGCAGGACTCAGAGGCACGTTTTCCCCTGACATATTTATTGTTAGGCAAAGGATCCAAAGTGTTTGTTGCCTTAAGTGACCGGGAGTGGAGTTGGGGATGGAATCCGGAGCCAGAACAGGAGGAGCCCTGAATGGCAGGCAAGGGAGTGAAGTCCTTATCCTGAAATAAGTAGGAAGCCTGTGAGAGATTTTAACGAGGGCAAAAAATGATGAGATTTGCATCCTGCGTCCATCATCGTGGCCTCCTCAGAGCACTGCACAGTGCCTGGCACACAGTAAATCTGTAGAATGTATGAAATAAAGAAATGAATTAATGAATGCATGCACTTTAGGGAGGCTGCCCCGGCAGAAGTGGAGGAGATGGACTGAGTGAGGAGAGGGTCTAGAAATTGCTCTCCCCACCACTGACATAGCATCTAGTCCCTCCTCTCTTACTACAACACTCAGCAAAATGCAGTCCTGGGGGTGAATAAACTCTCCCCCTTCTCCTGTCTCCTACGTGAGTGTTCACCAAGTCATTCCTCTTCCTCTCTCTTCCTCTCTGGTCCAGGCCTGGGCATCACAGGTCCGTGGCAATGAGCCCTCATAGCCAACCCTGCTTGTCCTCCTGTGCATTAAATGTGTCAATGATTCAGGCCCCAGATGCAAAATCTTGGGAACTTCCTGGCTCATTTCAGGCTGCCTCTCTGACCTCTCCACATCAGTTCCTTCCCCCACCAGTTTAATGTGCATTAATATAATAATAATAATAATAATAATTATTATTATTATAAAAATCCAGGCCAAATCTGGTTGGGAAAAGAAAGCAGATGCAAAGAAAAGGATGTTCCAAAGCCAGAGAGGAATGACATCTGCAGTCCCCACATCAAAGCTTCCCTCCAATGGTGCAGGGGAGAGCTGGCCCTGCCCT